AGAATGGCTTCATCGTGCTTGTCGAACCAGCCCGCAAGGGTGCGGGCATCGAGCTCTTGGACTTTTATGAGACTGGATGACTTTGTGTGGTTTTTTTCGAGCTCACTCAGGAGATCGCATAAAAGGTGGAATGGGAACGGCATATCGTCTGCAGGTACTGTCTATAGCCAGAAAAGCGACAAATTGAAGAACGATGGCGAATGGCGAAGGGACGAACGAGTGAGTCCAGGCACAATAATAGATCGGTGCCATTCCAGGTTATAAATATATGGACACAGCGTCTTCTCTGCCGCATTGCTCTGGCCTCCGAAGCGACTAGTCGCAAGCTAAGTAGCTGGGCCTTCTGACAACGACGTCATAATTCTCTTCGCCACGGCTGCCTGCGCCCAATCTACCTTGTCAAAATACTTGATGTGACATGACGCGACATCCTCGTGGCTTGGACCAGTGCGCGGGGCTGAACTGGCCGCTCGTATATATCCAGCGGCACAGAGATTTCCGGTACACCTGCGCATGGAGCCGGCACGTTTGGAGCAATCATGAAGCGCGCTCCCTGCATTGCTGGTCGCGTGAAAATGTGTCGAGTCGGTACGTACATACGCTCAATCGTTTGACATGAAGTGCCTAGAACTAGTCATGCAAAAGTGGCTCCATCCCTCTGCATATTTTGGACACGGCTAATCTTCTTTGATGGCGCTTCATGGTTGCCTTGCTGACTTCCATAGCTTCCCTCGCGGCGGCACTAGCTGCTCTCGCGATGGTCGACAGTGAGAGTTTCGGACCGCAGAATCTTCGGAGCAGCAGTGCGCCATTCGCGATACGTGCTGGTCATAATTCTGAAATCATCAGCCGCCCCAAAGGCATGCCTACCGTTCTGTTGTTTTGTTCTCTTTGTGGCTGCTTCTTCGGACGCTGGGTAGCCTCATTTTGTGCCGTTAGAGGACGGCGGATATGACCGGCTTCGTGCCTCCGCAAGGGTCCAGCAGCCTTCGTTATGGAATGAGCCTGGATCTATGGGCTCCTTGTCTAAACCCTGTTGGCGTCGAGCCGTTTTGGCTGGATAGAGAATTAGCAGACGACGCTATCGAGGCGGCGGCGTGTGTACCTAGTTTGACGAGGTTGAGGGTGCTTCGCCTAATTGACTTACCTTGGCTACGCCCCATTATCCCACAGAGAGCCAAAAACATCTCCAACGTTCGTCGCCGCCAGGTCCTCAATGACCCGGTCCATGGCCCCGGGGGCGCCTGTATCTCTTAAATTGACTTGTGGATGCAACAGGTTAACCATAGCCACAAGCCGCAAGTCACTGCCGGGAGGACGGCATGAAAATGATCTTCGGGCTCAATCTGGATTGGTGGTAGACATTACGACGAAATCGCCCCAGACACCACAGGGTTGCTTATAAGCGACGAAATGCCATACGGTTGAGGCATTGACAACGTTGCGCCGCTGAGGAGGCTGCGTCCACTTCGTGCCTATGTAGCCTAAAGCTGCCGCCGCAATGGCTGTTTGGATACTACGCTCGGTGCCGAGTGGCCCGAAGCGACATAGGACGTGTAGTCGGAAACAGCTGCGGCTCGTTACTGCCACCGGCATGGGCGGTCGCTCCATGGGCGTGGATGCTGCGTTGCGCACACATGAGTGACAGTCTGCAGACTCGGCTCCAGGTCTACTGGACGATGCGACACCCGAGCAGGTTGTGGCCTGGGAGTGGGACTCCAGACAACGGATGTGAAGTCCGCGGTGACCCTCCACTTCTTGCCGCGACTCAGCACCAGCAGTACAGGCGGTCTGCGGAGTCCGGGAGTGGACGACGCAGTGGCGAAGGGTGTTTTTTCGGGCCATCAAACATGGCTTCCCCAGCCCGAAGTCCCAGGGATGTAAGTAGCGATTGTCCACTCCACAGCGAAGATGGCCAGAAGTGGCCTTGGATGAGTTCTACGTAAACGACGAAGATCGTGAGGAACTGGCCGACGCAGATTGTCGCCTTCCAGGACGACTTTTGTGTGGGGTGGGGGTGCGGAATGACGGGCTGTTGTCCACTTCCTGCCAACACGGAGACACTATTACCACCCCTCCCCCGCCGCTTCGGGCGGGTAGTTTTGGCCTTGCGTCACCTTCTGCAAAAGCCATCAGAGCTCGGGGATTGTCGCTATTCAGCATGGCTTCCAGAAATGGAGGGGTTCGGGGCCTGCTTTGGCTGCGGTGATGAGTTTATGGGGATGTGCGGATGAGATCGCAGTAGTTCGCTTCTTGCCGACATGGGGTGCTATTCCCGCACCCCCGACCAGGCTGCAGGTACAGTAGTTGACAAGATGGTTACTCGAGACTTATCTCGCTCTATGCCCACACTGCAAAGAAGGCGGTTCCTGCCCTTCAGTGTCGTTGCGGTTGCAAATCTCTCCAACTGGACAACTGGCCGCAACAGACGTGATCTTGCTGCGCGCCGCATCGCAACCATTGGCCGCCATGGCGGCTTGTTGCCGTGAACCATTCTGGCCTTGCGTCCTCTTCTTATGGGCCAGCCGATGTCCACATACAATTACATCCATCAACCTCGCCCCGTCTTAGACCAGCACTTCCGACAAATCAGAACAAACACCCTCGTTCTGTACTGCGCTGTAATCGCAACTGGATAAACGGACAGGTCCAGGAACGGTGCGCCTACAGTAATTACCGTGATAAAAACGTGCTCTAATGGCTAAGTCTATCCAGATTGTATGTTGTTGTGCGGCCGGGATGTATACTCACTCACTAGGAATTGGCACGTGGAAGAGAAGACTAGAAGTTTGCAACTGCTACAGCTAAGAGCGAAACGGGTTTCCTCCCCCATGCTGTCTCTTCTATAGTATTCTAGGAGCTCGGCCATCACAGACGCCGGCAAAAGTGGGTCGAGCGTTGTAAAAGAGTGTGTGCAGGAGGACAGCGGTTTTGCTCACAGCTGTACTGCCCCGACTGTCCTGCACGGCACTGCGCTTTTCTCTGCTCCAGCATATTTGAGTTCAGGTCTGCTGGTGAGACCTGGCCCTTGCCACCTGATGACATTGTACTGCGAAGCTCCATTGCTGCGCCTCCTGAACGATCGTGGCTAATGGCGACTGGCAGCAAAACAGTTTTCCCGTGCCTGTGCAAATGACCGTCGACATGGCCCGTGAGCTACTTGGTTGCAGAAGCCAGTCGAAGACCCCCAGTGAACCTGAGTTCTGTAGGACAGGACAATGATAATCAGGATGGCGTGTGTCTGCTATGTATGAATTAATTTACTGTCTCTGATCAAGTTATGGGCGATAAATCATCAATACCAGTTTCATATTCATTCGTGAGTACTTGTGCATGGATGTAGGAAGTGACGGCTGGGCGGTTGAACTCGAGAATCGTTGGTAGCCACACACTCGTCTCTGCTTTACACATCTTCACCACTGTCTGCCGCTCCGCTGCATGCCAAACATTACACCCCCTGTAGCCCAGAGGAATCAGCGAGCCACTACTTCACGTTCCTGCCGCCCCGAGATCACAACCTGAGTCTCGCCCGGTACGTTCCCCAGTCCAGCTCCAATGCCCCATTCTCCACGAGGGTCCAGGGGTTAGGGAAGTAGTCCGTGACGGGGTTGCCCTGGATGCGGGATATGCGGATGAGGATGTAGGCGTTGTTAGGGTCGTGGTCGTAGTCTTGCATCTGGAACAGGAAATAGTTCGTCAGTAAGGGATGTATAATTGGTAAGTAACCTACGATAACAACGCGAACAGCATCAGCTTTGCACCTGTCGACGCACCTTCTGCACCTGTGACTCGCGAAGAAACATGTCCGCGTCATACTCCCCCGGCGTTGTCTTGACCTCGAAGTGGTAGGTCGTGTTGTTGGACCAGGCCGGCGAGACGGGCACGTGCGCCCGCCGCAGAGCCTCCCGCATGCTGCCAGAGCGGTCGGCGTAGGTGAAGTCGGCGAAGAGCCGCTCGTCTTGGGTGAACCGCGGATGGCCGTCTTTGGATCGGAGCTTGCTGGTCCAGTTTCCCCGCGCGGTCCAGTCGGGGAGCGCGCATTGGAAGTGGTCGTGGCTGTGGATGGGGTTAGCGGGGGGCAAGAGAGGACATTTGGGGGGTTGGGGTTCAGTACATGCGCTTCTCGCCTAAGAAGCCGATATCCTCGATGCTGAGTCGTTCACGCCTTGGGCTCGTCTGCTGCTGCTGCTGCCACTGCTTCTGAGGCGACAACTCCGCATCGCCCTGCCTCCTATCCTCCCTCCCCACGCCGTTACACGCGCAGCAGCCCAGGAGACTCGACCCGAGTCGCGGCGCGGCGCCAACAAACAGGATGATGACGCCCGGCCCGCCGTGCTCGCCCGTCCCGACCACCCCGTGCACGCCCTCGTTCATGGAGCAGGTGGCGAGCACGCCCGCGCCGAGGGCGAGCAGCGCGCCTAGCACCGGTACCGCGTACGGCAGGAGCGCCGACTTGGAGCTGGAAAACACCACGGCTCCCCCCACGACGGGGCTGAAGACGTCCAGTATGGCGGCGAGGACGGTGAGCGCCGCACTGGCCTTGGACAGGGACGCGAAGCGCGCTTCCCGGTCGCGGAGACGCGCCGGGTTGAGCCGGCTGAGCGTGGCGTTCCAGGCCGACACGACGGCGCTGGCCTGGTCGGTGCCCTCGCCGAGGCGGTCTCGCAGGGACTCCTCCACGATGGCGAGGACGGCTTGTGTCGGGGGAAACTGCCGCCGGCAGCGCGTCTCGCTCTGGGAGCCGTAAACATCGCAAATGCCCGAGCTGCCCCAGTACCAGTAGATTGGCAGGTCCGGGTGGAGGAGCGTCCCCGGCGCTGCGCCACCGCTGTCCTCGGCTGCGAGCTTTTGGAGGCCATCGGCCAGGACGGCGACCTTGACCCGGTAGAGGGAGAGGTTGGCGGTGCCGGGGGAGATGCAGCCGATGAGGAAGACGACGTTGGCGACGAGACTCACTGGGGGGTTGGCGGTGTCAGTTTAGTTACAGTCTCGACGTGGACATGAACGAGTGGCTTACCAAAGGAGAACACCGCGATCCAGCACCAGGATAATTTCGGGGATAAGCCCATGTCGTATGCGCACTGACCGACTGGTATGAGTGTGAGATAGCCGAGACAGAGTCGCCTCCATCCGGAGGGACGCGAGGCGGGCCGCCTCAGCTAATATATTGACACGCCTCTACCCAGCCATCAGCCTTACTGATTCTGCATTCAACTTTCTTCAGGCCCTGCCTTCGGGGCCGGCCGGCCACGAATGGTGTTCGCCCACAGCATGCAGACAACCTTCAATCTCGGTTGCTCCAACCTGACTTCTTGGAGACGTGGCTCCACGGCGCGTAACTTTGCCTTGTGATTTGCTAGACCTGGACGCGACAGGGGAAAGCGCCCGCTTTGACAGAACGTTAGCGGGCGACTTGGCAAGCGTCATGGAGAGCTTGAGTCTGACCGCCGCCTTGGCTCTCAGGGTGCTTCTGGTCTCTTTCTCAGCAACAATGTGCTTGGGCAGAAGACGTGACATTGCCTCTCCCTTTCCACACCTCCATCTTCGTGATTGTCGTGCGCTTGCTGTGCGAATCTCGAGTACCTCTGTTACATACCAAAGCTGGACTGCCGAGTTGGGCGCAGCTGGGTAGCCAGCGCCTCTGAACATACTGGAGATCGGGTCCCCAAAGTCAATGGACCTCGCATCGGCCCTGCCACTGACGGTCCTTGAGGGCACAGCCACCCAGGTTCTTGTGACTGTGAAGCCGCAAGTGGCGCTCACTAGCCTCACATCAGCGGGCCGAAGTGGTTGCCGGGCCGTCCCGCCAAGAGCCACAGCTTGGCCCCATAAGGTCCACGTTTCTTCCGGCACGCTTTGCCGAGGTCCACGTTTCTTCCGGCACGCTTTGCCGAGGTCCACGTTTCTTCCGGCACGCTTTGCCGAGGTCCACGTTTCTTCCGGCACGCTTTGCCGCGCATGGCTGCGTGATAAATAGCGGCTGCAACCGTGTAGGGACTTCAGTTCAGTTCCGTCAAGTTCGTTTCTTCCGGCAGAGTCTAAGAGTTGGGTCAGCGACGTCGAGGAGATCAACTCGACAGCCGTCGTTTCGGCAAGCATTTGGATCAGGGGGTGGGGGGCGCGCCTGGGTGCAGAAGGCTTGACTCTCTCCGACCATGAGGTGGGCGAAGACGAATGATCCTGATTAGTTATGCAAGGTCGTTTATGCCTGCCCCCCTTCAACTTTATCTGGTCTCAATAGCCTGTATACTCAAGGGAAAGCTCGGCTGGTCAATCGAGGGCCAAGAACACCCATTTACTCGATAATATGGATTGCAGAGTTCTCCAATCGTACTCAGACGTTGCTGCTGACTCACACGGAATCCACCCCATTATATCCATGACACCTCAGATCGTCCACACCGGCGCCTTGGTCAACATCTGGCGGCCCCTGGCCACCAGAGCAACGAATGCCGCCAATCGAGCCTTGCCAGCGTCTCCGGAAAGTCCTGCGCGAGTGTCCCTGGCAGTACTTATCCGCTCGGCAAACAACTCGCTGGGACCTTTCTGTCCCGTCTTGGGAGTGCTCATGTTCCCCCTTGTCAACATACCGGCCTTGACCTGGTCTCCCGGCGCCCTGCCATTCTTGTTCTTGTCTATATTTTCTTCGTCTTCATGCTCATGCTCGCCAGCATCAGTCCCGGACTTTTGATTCTCAAGAATCGGGAGGACAGTATTCTGAATCTCCATTAGGTGGAGTTGCACCATCTCGCCAGGGAAGGGATAGACGATGGCCAAGTCGCGGCTCTCCAGCGGCAGTTTTGACGCTATGGACACCGCCAGCTCCACGATTATCGACACGCTACCTTCGACACCGGCAGGTGGCGGGCTGTTTAAGTACTGGTAGAGGTGCTCAGCAAGGTCCACTGTTGCTTTGCTCGTCAAAATCGCACTATTGTCCCTCGTCGAGTTAAGTTCCTTTGCAGACCGTTCCAAGGTGGCCATTCTCCAGCGTACTACCTTCGTCGTGAGTGCGCCGAATTCTTCCTCGCTATGCATGGTATAGGCGTTTGCCCGGATGCTGAGCTCGATCTCCTTGAGCTGTGAGCTGAGCTGCGGTTCGAGGGCCGGGTGGAAACACTTGTTGAAGATCTTTTCGGCGAGCCACCTCGACGCAATAGCCCGTCCAATCACAGTCATTTCCCGCTTGCCCGTCTTGAGCGCATCGGCGCTTACATAGCCCTCAAGCCATTGCGGCAGGCAGCGCCAGTTCTTGCGGATGTTGAACGCCAGGTTGTTGATGGCGCCACTGAGGCGGTTGAATCGGGTCGTGTATTCGTTGTCGTCCCACATCGTATGGGATGTCGACATGCGCTGGTTCGCGACAGCGTTTTGCAGCGTCTCCACCTGGCCCCTGAGCTGCTCTATTTGGGACTTGCCGTCAAAATAGAGGCGCTTGACTTCCAGGTTGCCCATCTCTCCCGTCCGCCCATCTCTCCCGTCCGCTCATACCGACTCTCAAGCATGACCCCAAGGTTGTTCAATCGATCGGGTGAAAAAAGGGAGCCGCCATTCCTTGTATCAATGCTTCGTCTTGCCAGCTCTACTGCCTTGTCAATATCCAGTGTCACAAAGGTGGCAAAGCATCGCCGAGATCTGACGCAGTCATGCAGGTCACGCCGCCATGATAGATCCGAGGCGGCAGATCAGCGCTGCTCGTGCGATGATACGCTTGCTAAGGATCTGTTGATAGGATTGTGCCGAAGCTGTGTGTAACAGGCCCGCCTGGATCTGCCGTGCCGTGGGTTCGTGTGCAGACGGGGCGCTGCTGCATGTCGGTCCAGGCTCTCGCGGGACTGGATGCGTCCACTCCGCAAAATGCGCCAATGACGGAGCTGCCCTCGCATGTACGGGTTCGGCCAGGTCCAGGACATGCCTTCACCCGAAGTACGGGCCACATTAGGCAGATAATGTGCTGCCGCTAACGGGTCGTCGACAGACGTACCGGGGGTGGGATACGGCGCACTGAACAGGCTCTTGCCACCCGTTCAAGCCAACAAGCCACAGCCCGGGGTACACGAAGTGGCTTGGCAGCTACGGTACATGTCAGTTTCTCGACATTGTTACGTACCGGCAGCCAGAGCTTGCCGTGCAGATCATTGCGAAGTATGGGAAACCACTTCGTCCAGTTTTTGCGTCGGGTGTGGCAGCTACAGTACATGTCAGCTTCGCAACGTGGTTGCATGGCGACGGCCAGTTCTGCCGTGCAGATCATTGCGGAGTGGCGGTGGCCGCATCGGCCGCCCGGGCCATCAACATTCAGACCCGGACGAAGGTCGCCATGCAGGGCGCGAAGACGGACAAGATGCCATTTATTCGTCCATTTCCTTCATGTGGACGGCGTCGTCCGGTTCCAGATATGCCGCTGTTGATATGGAGCCTGTGCCGGGACGCAGTCACGGGGGTTTGTGCCATCCAACTGTCGGCAATGGAGGACACTGTGCAAAGCTTGACAAGCAGATCACCGTAGCACGCGCGGACTTGGCACATTCTTCGGGCGCACGCGACGTCGCAGCTAAAGTCGGTTTCCTGACGTTGTCTGTTGGCATCTCCTGCTGCCGCGTACGACCTGCCGCGTCCGTCGCTTCCTGCCGTCCAGTCTCTGCTTGTCATCGGCTGCTACAGCTTATGTCACTTACCTGACGTCGTTGCGTGGAGGTGTGTCCATTCTATGCAAGACGTTATGGGGCCACAGGGCCTGATTCTGGGTGTGCAGCTCTAGGTCGATAAGCTGCTGCCGCGTCCGATGGTGACCACGCTATTCCGAGGACACGCATGTGGACGCAAGTCCAGAGTAGGGCCAGCAACGTCACAATGGCGAGCACTTAGCCGTTACTGTACGTTTACATTACGGACTTACGGTAGCCACACCATCTTCTGGGCCTGTCCGTTTATCCAATTACAGTTATTTCCAGGGCCGGACGAGGATATGGGGTCGTTCTGGTATGTCCAGAAACTCGTCTAAGACGAAGTGGTGATGGAGGTAGTCGTATGTTGATATAGGCTCGCCCACGACGCCGTTGCGGCTCTTAAGATCGTAAGAGACCCAAGGCCAGAATAGTTCACGGCAACAAGTCCCCATAGCGGCGAATGGATGCGATGGCCCTCGCGGCAAAATCACGCCTGTTGCGGCACTTGTCCAGCTGGAGAGAATGCAACCGGAATGACACTGAAAGGCAAAGGCAGAAACCAGCCTTCTATTTAGTGGGCAAAGGGTTACAGTTCCCCAGTGGCCATCTTGTCGACGACCTACCGCCGGGTCGGGGGTGCGGGAATAGCACCCCATGGCGGCAAAAGGTGAACTTCCGTGACCTCATCCGCGCCCCCCAGAAACTCCTCCCCGCAGCCAAAGCCGGCCCTCATATTCCCATTTCTGGAAGCCATGCTGAAAGGCCACAAGCTCTCTGCATACCTGCATCGTCCAGTTCCTGATGAGTTCTGATGACGTGCAGAAGGAAATCGTGCAAGGCCGCTACTGATCACTAGAAGCGGCGGGGGCGGGGGTGGTCATAGCGGACCCAAGTGGGCGGGAAGTGGACAAGCGCCCCTCATTCCCCAGCCACCCCCATGACAGAACCGGTAATGGAAGGTCACAAAGCTGCGCGGCCAGTTCCTGACGATCCTTATCGTTTACATAGCGATCATGCAAGGCCACTTGTGGCCGTTTGTAGGCGTGGGGTGGGCAACCGCCCCGGACACCCATAGCAAACCCACCCCCACCCCGCTTGGACCTGAATTTCTGGAAGTCCTCCGTGATGGCCCCTGCGCTGCTCGTCGTCTGGTTCCTGAAGATTTGCCAGCTTTGCGAGACGCTCATGCAAGGCCAATACCTGGAACCCGCAGCCATGAAGGGGAAACGGGAGAATAGCGGCTCCATGGCGGCAACAAGCGGACAACCCGCCAGTGACGACCTGTTTCTAACCCAGGTGCTTCCACATCCGCTTCCGGAAGTCACGCTTGAAGGCCACAACTACCTCGCTAATACTGTAAGCGGTCTCACGTTGAGAATTCGGATATCGGCAATGCTGGCACCGTGTTGGCAAGCACGTACAAGCCGATCGACTTCCTGCAAAGCCGGGCTCCTATTGCCATTCCTTCGAAGTCGAGAATATCATGGCTGTTGCATGGCTCAACCATCAGAACAGCAGTATTGAGGGTACGTTCTGCCAATCTGCAAGCGTTGGCGGCCGCTACTGCCGGGGCTTCCAGCAGTCCAGATGCAACAAGATCCGCCGCCCCGTTCTTCACTCTCTGTTTCGTCGTGATTGTGCGCCTTACATATGTGATGCATACACAGAAATAGAAGCTCTTGCTGATGTGGTCCGGTGCGGATCTTGACCTGGTCCCATTCAGCCGGTCATACCAGGCATGCCCGAGGCTGATGCAACTTTTCCGGACGACACCAGCGGGCTGTTCAACCTCAAGCTGTGCATCGAGAGGAGGCTATGCGAGCGTATCGCTGTGACTCAAAAGCCGTATCGAGGTCGACATCAGTTGCAAACTGGAGTGCCGGGTATAGACACCCCTAGCCGCTACCATCCCGCCATGCGGAACCACAAACTGACAGGCCCGTACCGGTGCTGTTGCGGCAGTGGGGGCGGGCTGACCCGTTGTGGATATTTCCAGTGTCCGTCGCAGATACCACGTGGCTTGAGAACCAAACCTACCGGGAGGAAGCCGCGAAATTAAGCACCATCTTGGCCATTCGCGCGTCCCTCGGAATGCAGGTGGAGTCTTGGAATACGAAGCCTGCGGCTTGTGCCACTGTTAGAAGGTCAATACGGGGATGGCCTAGTCTACATTCAACACGAGCAGTGATGCTATTGGGGTTGGAGGCAATTTGGATTGGACTGGAGTAAACAGGAAATCGCCTTGGTCATGATTCAGCGCTTGAAAGATTCCTCGATGGATTGGACTGAGGCATCCAGTTGTCTTACCGGATGAGGCAAGAGCTAAGCCTAATTCGTTCTTACGATACGGGCCGCCCCACCCTGAACGCTCTTGACCTGCCACTGAATCCACCAGTGGGTAAAGTGGACGTTATCAGCCCTCGTGCCTGGATGGATTGGATCCGGGGTCGGGTCCAGGTCCAGTCCAATCCAATAACATCACTGAACACGAGGAATCATTCAGCTCAGGGCCCGTTTTGACGGGTTCTTAATTTGAGCGAGCCTGCTTTTCTAGAAGGTGGCATAGTAATCTTGTTGAAACAGTGCCTCGGGGATCCAATAGATTCGCGCCCGGGCGCGGATCTATTGGATCCCAGTGCCTCGCCCCTGCTGACCAAGCTGTTGACGGGAGATGCCTCAGTCGCCGGAAACAGCGCAAGCTTGCTCCAGCCGCCACTGACGAGATATCGACAGGTGGTTTGTAGCTGTACCCAAAGGCTGGAAGCGGCGTCCTATCGACCGGAGTGGAGCCATCTATCTGGCTGCATGTGTCTAACCCACCTGACCCCCCCAGCAAAACATCCTGGTTGGCGATTCCGACGCCCTGGTCGGCTCCTAGGCGTCCGAGCAGATTCCACGTGGGGAACCCAGACAAGTCTGGCGAATGAATCGCTGAGAGATCGTTCGATGACGCCTTGGCATCTGTGCGAATTCAGGATGACGAAGCAGATCCCGCCTGGGCCCTAAGATTGCAGCCGCAAAGGGGAGACCCAAGCAAGGGGCAGTTACAAGATTAGTCGGGTTTACCAGCGGCTGTGGCGTCTCTGGTCCAGCCCACACTCCGCATATGTCCAGAGGGCCGTTCCATCAGTAGTCGGGTCTCACAGACTGCACGGGAAATTGTTGGCGGTCCCCGGCACGTGCAGCAGCGGCGGATGTTCCATACGTTCCCACCATGCCACAGCACAGCCATGGGCAATAGATTTTCTTGCAGGCCTCGCCATGGGCTATGTCGCTATCGGAGCCTTCGCATGACAAAATATTGTCGGCTTGGGGCCGGAAAAGGGGGAGGAGCACTGATTTTGATCCATAAGCCATATCCGTCACCATGAAAGGAACGAATTCGTAAATGCATCCCGCCACCCCTGCCGGTGTGCCATGCATGGGGACCTTGCTCCTGCCGAATGGGTGCACCGTCGACCAAGGTCAGACCTTCAATCCATTGGCTGCCTCGAAGGTGAAGACATGGTAACAGGGCAGCATCAGAGTAGTGACGACACCCCAGTCTCTGGCTGGCAGCGGGCCTAGTTTATCTCCATATGGGTGCACTTTCAGTTGCTGGGCATCTCTATATAATTTAAGGCAAGGCTGCTATACGGATGCTTCACCAGAGTATGGCATAATCATCCCGAAAGGGATCACGAAAGCCGGTGAACGGCACAACCCGACATCAAAGAACAGGGCACAGCCGCAGAATTCGGGCCACGATGCCCATGCAACAGCCGGCAGAGCAATATAAGGTGCCCA